TTTAATTGGAGGGGGTGGTTGGGTCCCGCATGGAGGCTTGTGTACTTTCATATGGCTTCTTTGGGGCCGGGCGCACACAATGACGTCCATTTCGCAGGTTCTATGAGGTGTCGGTTTTACCTCTGACACTGGCTAGCATTAATATGATATCTGACTTGCATTAACATATTTAGCTAATTCCTAATTAAATTTTATTTATTTATTTGCTTATCATTTCACACACATGTTTATTTATATATATGATAAGAATTTACCTTCTTTGCCGTTGGTATCTTTCGCTTACATTATAAAAATATTTTTTATGATTAAGTCACTCTTTAAAAATAAATAACGTGCATAGTAATAATAATATTTGAATCATCTTACAAAAATTGGATCAAATGAAACCTTTAACTAAGGATGTGCTTAATGTAATTACTGCTATTAAACCTTGCAAAAAATACGTGGAAAATTCACTATTTTGATTGGCCAACGGCAACGACAAAAGATTTATTCGAATTTTTAGTAAATAAATCGTGGCCGCCCATTAAGTGAAATTAGTGTTTAAAATTTTGTGGTTTAATGAATCCCGCGCGGGATTTTTGGAACAACCGCGATTTGCCCATATCTAGGTACTATATATCCCTTGAAATTACATGAAATCCATGTTACTAAAACTTATGTGAAATTACATGTTTTGTAAATTTGTAAAATGTAATTTTCAACCCTAAATGAAATATGTTCCTGGGTCAATTTACCATTACACAGACCCAAACCTTAAACAATTAAAAATTAAACTCCGGCCAAAATTATGTATAATGCGGACCAAAATTTTATCGATCACAGCCGTTGGCCTATCAAAATTGAGGTTCAACCGCGCGGCACCTAGTGTGAGCCCGATTTTTTGGATCACGGGTGCCCGAATTGAAGCTACGATCTTTACCCGATCCAAGGTCACAGGCAAAGTAACAGAAATGTTACTTATGGTACTTATGGTACTTATGCTACTTCGGCCATATATGCGTTAAATGACATATCGGCCTTTTATTACATTTAGTGAATATATGGAGTATAAGGAATATCTGGTATTTATGGCATAAATTGATTACGAATGTAAATAAACCATTTATTATAAATAAAGGGCATTTCTGCCGGGAGAGAAGAATAATGATCCCTTCCCTTAAACAAACAAACTCCCTAATAACAATAAATACCCGCCCCTAATAAAGTGAAAGTATCACCATATACAAACTAATAAACTATCGTTAATCCCACTGTTACCCTATCGTTCACCAATAAACCAAACTCGCCGTTGATCGTTCGCCGCAAGACACGTGACCGGAAAGCCGTCGCCGCAATAGAGGAAGTTCCAACCCCGATTCGACGAAGAGTAATCCCAGGTTGAGGCATACAAGAGAAGACAAGAGAAGATAAAGGTTAATAGAAGAATCGGTTAAAGGAAATACTTACAAGAAGAAGACTAGTACTTACCTACGGATAAACCACCAGCCAGATCTAACACGCCTATTTCGACTTAGCCGCCGTAGGTTACACGAGAATTGGATTAGAGTAGCGACCGAATCGCCGATTCCGGAATTACACTAGTTTAATGAATCCCGCGCGTCACGCTCGGGATTTTTTGAAAAACCGCGATTTGCCCATCTCTAGTCTCTTGCGTCAAATGACTCCCGGCCTGAGTTATGATTGGGGTTAGGATAAAAGTTATTGCTAGTCATTTAATGTTGGTCACCTTATATTCATCTGAAGTGTTAGCTGCAATCTCACGCGCTAATCTGAGGCACAACATATATAACGTAAATAAATCACGTAATTTTTATGTAAAATAACAAAAAAAAACCACATTTATAAATAAAATTAGCTTATAAAGTACTACTGTATTATTAATTTTAAATTCTCAGGCAATCTCTTATGATCATGGATTGCCATCTGTCTTATTATTTTTTTATGTGTTACGATGTAATCATGTTTATTTAAAGCCAATGACCCCTACCAATCATAATCATAAATTACCGGATAACACTAATATTGGACAAATTGTCGAATACGTTAATTTGGCTCAACCGGGCAAATGATTAGTTCGCGTGCCACTTCGCGGCACGTGTTCATTTGCCCGGTTTGCCAAATTAACGTTATCTGTATACTTATTGATCGTTGATTGAGTCACTATCACCTGATCGCGAATTTTTTGAATAATTTATTAAAACTAAGTTTTTTTTTGAATTATTTTATATAACACATAATTTGTATAGAAGTACAGTAAATATACATTGCAACATTTATGTAGTGATACAAATTGGAATCGAAATAAATCGATTAGTTGGTTAGTTGACAACTAATCGACTGAACTTTTTAGACACCAACTTATCGATTAATCAACTAAAGAATTAATTTTTTCAGTTGGTTGCAATTAATCGATCAGTTGCAACTGATCGATTAATCGATTTAGTCGATTAGTTACAACTGATCGATAATGACCAACTAATCGATTGAAAAAAATTTGCCGATTTGGAACACTACATTTATGATCTAGTGAATATTCGGATATAAAACTGTTTCATTAAATCGAATATTTGAATATATAATTATTCTGTAATTTAATTCATTCCTTATCCATATGTATTTATGTTGTTTATAACAGAAACGGAGTGATGCAATTATGAAATGTATGGTTATTATAACATTTGAAGTGGGATTTGTCCACAAAATCCTAGATTTTATTAGACCAATACATGTGACATTGTAGAAATGTGAATTATTTGAATTCTATTAAAATGTAGAATTCAAATAAAGAATATTTTTATTAAATTTAATTACATTAGCATTAAAATATTTTCAAAAAAAATGAAAAGCGAAAATAGCATATTCCAATAAACATCGATATTTGCAGATCATTTGAACAGCCTGAATTGTGGTAAAAAGCATCTTTTTAATGTATATTTTGCTAACCCAATTATATTCATGTTTCCGCTATCTGACTTTTCTTAATCTTTATTTTTTTCAACGTATTTTTGTGCTAGTAAGGAACATCTGAAATCTGTGCCTGTAAATTAAATACTGATCAGTCTTGTGAAATAGCCAGGTAACAATGGGATGCAGGTGCAACGTTCCATATAAATGTAAATGGAATTCATTCTTATAAAGATTATTAGTCGGATCCTTAATCCTGATAGGGATCAAAGAATACTTTCTATTATATACAGATACATGTTAATCTTCCTGTCATCAATATAAATAAAAACTTACTATATATCTAAATAGGGATGCCAACGAATACAGGTCAGAAGTTCTTAACTGACCAGTTATATATCTGACAGATACTGATAATATTTTTAATATTTACATTATGATCTTAATTTTTATAACAAATAAATTCCATGGTCACATCTTTTTCTACATTACCACCATTAGTATTTACCTAGAGCAGATATGATACTTTTGCTGTAAAACGATGGAATTTATTGTAGATATTATTAAACCATAAAGATGAAGAAACAAATTTTTTTACAAGTAAATCTTGTAAATGTTTATAGCAAATTTTTAATACAATAAATTTATTTTTTTTTTCTGAAAATAAAATAGTGAACGTAATAAATAATACAATCATTATGGCGCGTTTGCGAAATTTAGCTAATTTTTGGTCACCAAAACTATAAATTTGGTCACCAAAACCTTAAATTTGGTCATCAAATTTATTATTGATTGATTAAAATTAAACTCCGGACAAATTTTTGGACTTTCAAATTTATAATAACAATGCGTCTAACCCATTTTCCTACCATTACAACCCATTTTCAAGTTCTGTCAAAAATTACCAAAAAAAATGATCGATAGTAACACTAATAGCGTTTTATGTTCTTTATGTGATAATAAAAAATTTAAAAGTCACTGTGGTCTCAAGATACATTATCAAAAAGTGCATTGTAGCAAAAAGATTATTAATATTTCTTCAAATAATGTTTTTTCATGCCCACTTTGCCCAAATACGATTTTCAAGAAAAAGAGTGGATGGAGTCGTCATGAAACATTAAGACACTTCAATTATAATATACTACCTACAAATCTTTTTACACTTTCTGATATTCATATTAATGAAGTTAAAGATACATTGGTCTATCTTATTCAGTCATGTCTTAAGCTTCACATGAAATTTGCCGGACTATAAACAATTTCAGCACCACTTACTGAATCTGCATTTGTTTCAATATTTCAAAATAATATTAATCGTTATTCAATCTGTCAACAAAGATATGAATGTAGTTTTAGTGGCTACGATGCATATAATACTCTTGCAAATATTTTCAATCAAGAAAACTGGGGAAGGCGAATTTATGAACATGGACAAAGTTCAGAAGTTGTACTAGTGCCTGAATCAACTGCATCGAATAATAAATTATATAATTCTAATCAACTAAATTTCAAAAAACCTGAAATGAATATTATTTGGAAAAGAAGAGTAATTAATGATGAGGCTGGAAACAAGTTTGAAGTGGATTGGGTTACTTTGAAATTTCTTGTAGGGCAATTTCATTAATACTATTTAATAATAAAAATTATTTAAATACAATATAATAATAATTAAATAATATTTATATAGCGATTATAAAATATACATAAATATCAATATATATTGTCTTATAGCTTTAATTGCAAATATAAATAAAATATACAGTATATGCATTAGAATTTATATATATGATGTTTTATTTCATAGAATATCTATGAACTATACTATCTTTTATAAAATAAGTTGGTATATCATGAATATAAAAGTAAAGAAATCAATTTTCATATTCTATAATTTTAAAGATCGCAGATTTTTGATTTTCAGGCATGCTACCATTTTTCATAGATTTTTGAAAAAAATATAAAACATGATTATAATTCTTTTTCTCAACTTCACAACAATAAATGCCGAAAGCCCAATGTTTTGATGTATTTCTATAAATTCAGACACATGATGTATGAGTGCATGAATATATGGAGTAATATCTGTTAGATGATAAAGTCCACGAACAAATCCTGAAGAGTTTACTTTGCCTTCAGATTTGGTTAAAAAAAGTTTTAACCATTGATATGCTTTTTGTCAAAATTGATTGCCAGATATATTTGATTTATGTATATTATTATATAAATCAATAAAGCCATTTCACAATTTTCTGATTTTAGCAGCTCTTTCAGATATAAATATAACATTTAAATCAAAGTCTTTTAAAACTATAAATCTATCATTTCCTGATAGTGTTATAAATAGCCATGTTTTGGTACTTTGATCTTCCCAAAAGGAAAATTGAACTTGAATATGTTTCATTTCAGAAATAATTACTTGTCGAATTTGATTAGTAAAGCAATGTGTACTACAAAGTTTACTTAAAATAAGATTCCATAATTGATCAAATATTTGCAAAAGTAAATGAAGTTCATCAATAACCCAATTACTAATTGGGATCATTGAAAATAATGGAAAATATTTATGCCCAGGTAAAGAATGATAGTTTTTATTAATATCATCTATATTTTTGCTAATAGTCCAATTGTCTTGCAATTCTAAAATACTATTTTGAGATTTATTAATAGAGCACCAAAGACAAAAGTTTGTACTATTCGCAAATTTATGCCCTAGGCAAATACTAAGAAACTTTCAGTCTGCTGAAATATATAATTCAATTTTCCATTTATATTTATTTTGATCAATAAATCCAGTTTTAATCTCATGTAATTCATCTATTAATAGAGCTAATTCGACTTGCAATGTACTATAATTTTCTATACCAGGATAAATAAGTAATGCAAAATGCGAATTGGATTTAAATATATTCATATTATTTAAAATTGTAAATGTGATCATTATATGTTTGACTTTGTGTTCAACATTCCGACCATCACCAGAAATACGAATATGTAATGTTGATTCAAAATAATTAAGAACACCTTTATTAATCATAGATGGTATAATAAAATTTAAAATGTCTTTAATTGAATGCCTTATTTCTTTTTCTACTAAGCTTTCAACTTCTTCAATAATTTCAGAATTGGTAATATGCATTTCAAAGCTAGTATTTAATTTATCTTTAGTTTGATGTAATTTAACTGAATAAATTGGAATATTCATGCTCATAATTTTATTTATTTGATTTAATCTTTCATAAAGAACTCTATTATGTAGTAAATCTTGACATATAGCTGCTAAAGCTCAATACAAAGATCTTGAAATCCTATTAGAATCCATAGCCTATATTAAAACAGTTATTTGATTTATTTCTTCTTTTTTATTTTTTGGTTGATATATAATTTGAAATTTTGAATCATTTACTGTAAAAACTAGCTCATTGATTATAACAACATCATTTACATTATAATGTTACATTATTTGGTTCTCAATACCAGATAAAATACTTGTACCAAAGTTTTTATTTTATATATATTGCATTTGGTTTGTTATTTTAGAAAATGGTTTAATACCTTTTGACTTTCTTCAATTTTCACGAACTAACTTGATTTGTAATAATTGCAATCCAAATAAGTAAACACCATTTATTTTGCTATTCAGCAATGATTGCTGAAACTAATTATTATTAAATTAAACTTAGCAAAAATTTATCAAGATAAAATTCATATTTTTTATAAATATATTTATATTTGGATTCTTAGTTTTTTTCTCATCGGCAATTTTTTTATAATAGACCATTAGATAATCATTTGCTGCAGCCGTTAATGAAAGATCTGAACATATATATTCATCCTCATGTAATTCGAATTTTATTTTATATTGAGGTTTTTTTTATAATAATTAATAAAGCAAGTAACTGTTTTTTCACTCTTGTCATAAGTTGTTTCTACAATATAATTATTAGGAATTGGATAATGATTTGACCTTCTAGTATAAGCAAGATAGGACTCAGATGGATAAACACTTTCCTTTACAATATAATATTGAAAACTTCTTCATGATGACTTCTATTTAATTGTGTGATCCACAGGATAATTTAAATTTTCTTTACCAATTTTTTTCATTATGAATAATAATTTTGAAAAGTTGATAACGATAAAATTTTTTATTAACTTGTGTTTGTTTTATTATTATATCATAATTAAATCATAAAAATACATATTATATCATAGTTAAATCATAAAATAATTAAATATGTAATATTGATATCAATTAAATTGGCATAATGATAAATTACGTATATCTGAAGTCAATTAAATTAACTCATCACTTGTAGTCAAACTTCTTAGATTTTGGGGTATTCGCAAATGCACCATAATGTAATACAATAAAAGAATGCAGCAACCATTGAACAATGTACATACGCATGTTGCTATAATTATAATCCAACACCATTTTTATTATAATAAAATGATGTTGGATTATAATCATAACATGTACTAGCGAAATGATCTGGTATTGTAAAACTAGAAAACAGAAGCCATTAAAAGTCTGAAGTAGGGATGTCAACAGTCGGTCACAGTCAGTTTTGGTCAGTCATTATTGGTCATGAGTCATGACCGAACTGACTGCAGTCATAACCGAACTGACTGCAGTCATAACCGAACTGACAGCAGTCATGACTAGGAATGGGAAAATCGAGGATTTTTCGAATCTACTGCGCAGGCTGCGCAGCCTGCACAGGCCTGTATTACAGCTAATACGGGCCAAAATTGTTAAATTCTGCGTTATTACGAAAAATTCCAGGCTTCCGAAAAATTCCGCCTGCGCAATGTCCCATCTCTAGTCATGACCAATAGGTAATTTAAAATTTTAATATCTAGCATTATTTAATTAATATTAGTTTATTTAAGTTATCACATTCTATCGTAATAAGCACTGTCCTCTCTATCTATTTTATTAAATGTCAGATTAGTGAAAACAACTTTGTTAAATATCTCATTGTGATTTCCACTAATCTGATATTTTAAAAAAATAAGGTAAAACAAATGGTACTTATTTATGATAAAATATGATAAAGCTTTTTTGATTTAGAGTTAATAAGCTAATAAATTTATATAATCTGTAATAATATAATATATAGTTAATAATATAATATTTTCTGCCTACACTCCATTTTATGACCAATTTCCTATTGAAATTCCTATTCATCACTCTATTCATACTATCTGCCAAGCTCATATTATAACACTTTGGACCTCCTAACATTGTTTTTAACAATGGTCTACTATTGCATCTAATGTTAACTGAGAAGCCACTTGGCTTTACATTAATAACAATCAAAAAATCTCTAACTTTGCTCACAGTTTTCATTCCTCTACTTTAAA